CCACCACTCCGACCCCCGACCCTGCCTCACCGGCGATTCCCCTCACGAATGCACACTCCAAGGCTTCCCTTGTCGGTTGCCGTCAAGACGGGTCTTGCGATTCGTTGATCGACGTTAGCTGTCACATGGGCCCATGCCGATCCGTCTTGTTGCATCGCCGCCCTCAGTCGCCCGATGGCTATGGAAGCTCGGTGTTTGCGCCGCCTCGGTATTGGTCGGCCCGAAAGTGTGCATTGCCCCGTCCGTGCACCACAATTTCCGCCTGTGCAGAGGCGAGCTCAGAAGGGGCAGCAGCAGGCGAGGCACCCAAATCGGCAACGCCCTTTTTTTCGTTCCAGCACGGCATGGCGGATGCTTGGCATCTTCGCTAGTGCACCTCACCATGGATCTCACAATTCCACTCCGCCTGTCCGCGTGTGCGCCAAGACCGTGCGCACACGCGGCCATGCCAAGCCCAGTCTACTCTCCGTCGTGCAGCCCTCCTCTCGCTTGGCAGCTCTGGGGTGCGTGACGTCTTGGCATCCCCCAATCCGTATCAGTGCCCATCGCGGGGGATGGTGAGAATGTTAGTTTGGGACAAGAGGGGGGGAAACGCGGCTCTGGAGGGTGGCGTCTTTTCATGCGCTGCACGGGTGCAGACAAGGCCGACACCAAGCGGTACACCCGTGTCGGATCTCCAACACCAATCCCTGGTGCGTGTGGGATGTTGACGATCGCACATCACCCACCCGGTCGGCTGGTGTGTCGTTCCGACTCAAGGAGGCAGAGGATGGAACGGCAAAGGAAAACAAGCACGACAGATGCTCGGTTGGGCAACAGCGACATGCTGCCCGCCTTGGCTTGCCAGCCGACAAGCCCTGCGAGACAGTTGAGCGGACGACTTCATTTGCGTGTTCCCGTACGTGCATGCATGAGTCGCCAGACGTTGCCAAGATAACCTCGCCGACTATGCTCTCCTCATGCTGCCATGCTCTTCCTGCCAGCCCTGGTCTCTTCCCATCGACGCCCTTTGGTTCACAAGCAGCTGCAGCGACCAAAATCACAACCTGAGCCCGAACGATATTGCGTTGATGAGGTGGTTCTATTGCGCTGCGCGGGGTGGCTACGGCAGCTCGACGATCAATACACGCGCATGCCCCTCGTGTCGTAGGGCAGGAAGGCCAGCGCAATGGGGCAGAGCAGAGTGATGCTCCCCGCGAGATACAGCACGTGTCGTGCCTGCTCCTCGGTCTTGTCCCTGTACAGCGGATCGGCGGCTAGCGGCGCCACGATGCTTGCGATCCTGCCGAGCGTGCTTGCCAGTCCGCTTGCAGTGCCCCGCACCTGAGAAGGGTAGATCTCGGGTACAAACGCATACAGTATGGAGTTGAAGAAGCTCTGGAAGAAGTACTCCATGGCATTGAGTCCAATAGAACCCGCCGTGTCGCTGACTCGGCTAAAGAGGAAGAACGAGACCGCCATGAGGGCGGACGATACGACCATCGCCCATTGACGTCCGAAGCGGGGCACCTCGATCATGGCCGCGCCGAACGCGACGGCGAAAATGCCCGGAAAGTAAATCAGAATGTAATTCCGATAGATCGTCTCGATCGACGTATCCTCCTCGACGCCCTTTGCCCTGAGGATCTGGGGCAGATAAAAGCCGGCCAAGGTGAAGCCCCAAAAGTCGGCGATAAAGGTGATCCAGATGATCGTCGTCACCCTGGCCATGGTCCTGTTCCTGAACAGCGTCTTTGCGTTCAAGAAGAGCGCGAGCATTTCCCTCGCCGACTTCTTGGCCGCTGCCATTCTCGACCTCTTGACGCCACCGGCATGCAGTCCCTCGTGTTCGTCCTCGTCGTACTCGCGTCCCTCGTGCGCAGCGATCCGCCTCGCAGCTTCGTGGAAGTCGGCCTGGGTGAAGAGCGGTTCCAACTTGCTCTTGTTCGTCTCGAGGATCTGTCGAATCACCTTGAGAGCCTTGGCGTCCTTACCGCGCGCAAGCAGGTACTGCGGCGACTCGCGGAACTTGAACACAAAGAAGCGCGCCACAAAGATGAGCCAGGTAATGCACCCGAGCGTATAGAGCGTATAGCGCCAGCCCATGTTGTTGCTCCTCGTGCACGTTGCTGCCGAATCGCACGCGTACTTGGGGATCAAGCCGTACGAGATGCCCGAACACACCAGCACACCCAGCGGCTGAAAGATCGACAGCGCCGCCACGAGGAATCGCCTATTGGTCGGCAGAAATTCGAGCG